ATGGGAAAAGTCGGATATCAGAACCTGTTCATCGCCCTCTGAGAGCCAGGAGCATAGCATCACAACAACGGCTGACCATGATCGACGCACGACGAGGAAGATAACAGTCAGCAAAGCTGTCCGTACCCGTTCAGGACGGAGACAGACAGCGCGATGCCACTCTAGCATGCCAGAAAAGGCTCCACGGGAACGACACTGCCAGTGGGAGCTTACAGTCGGAAATTGTAATATATCCTCACTCAGAGGGAAAGAGCAAGAGTCAGTTAATGAGGTCATAAAGTATCAACTCGACATTGCTGGATTCTCGTCAACGAAGCGCCAGGGCTCTGGAATCCTGAACTTCTGCGGGTGGAAGCTATTCTACTCAGGTGTTTATATCACGACGGGCGCTCAGGCCGGTGTTAGTGTTCCGGTAGAACCTAACCTCACAGAAAGAATCACTGATTGGAAGCCTGCCACCGGCATGGTCGCAATCCTCTGACTGAAGCCACATCAGGCTAAAGGCCTGACCTTGTTACAGGCCTATGCGCCCAGTTTCGACGGAGAATATGATAACACCGTTGAGAAATTGTAGAATCCCCTGTACGAAGTGCCGAATACGGAGTCACACATACTGATGAGCGATTTTAATGCGCATGTCGCAGTACACGCTATAAAGTGGAACGGCGCGATTGAAAAAAAAAACAATCGGCCCTAGCAATCTCACCAATAACGTAATGAAGTTGTCACGGCTTTCTGTATACAACGAACTGTCCATTATGAACACCTTCTTCGAGAATCGACGTGTGCAACAGTATACCTGGTACCTGGAAGATTGTGCACAGAAGTTGATGATCGATTTGATAATCCTATCGACTGTCTAAAGACCTTCACTATTGGCCATTCGCGTTAAGAGAGACGCAGAGCTATCAATCGATCACCATGGTGTTGTTGGTACGCTGCTCTGTAAGAAATGCAGTACCATACGAAGATATGGTGGCAGAAGCAACCGGATAATCAAACGGGAACCCCTTATCTTTGGTGGACACGAGAGAAATTCGCAAACATCGGACGACGGTTTGAACAGATCCCGGTGACGACCACTGTTGTGGAAACCGAGTGGTAGCTCTTTAAGAGAGGCATACTCGAGGCTGCCGCCGAATGATGCGGATGCAAATGGGCTGGCGTGCCGCCTCGAGGTCAGAGAAGACTTTCATGGTCGACACGAGAGGTACAACTGTCAGTTAAAGAGAAGAAAGCAGCGTTCAAGAAATGGCTCAGAAACAAGGAGCCATCTATTTACGTGCGATATGTCTAGGCACGCAAGGCGGAAGGCAAAGCAGTGGCAAAAGCCAAAGCTGATTCCTGGGTGAAGTTCGGTGAGGTGATGGAGTCGAATTTCCACACGGCAAACAAAGTATTCTGGCAGACTATCCGCCGGCTCCAAGGTGAAAAGACTGGCAGTCTCAGAGTCTTGAAGGACAGATCTGGACACCCTCTTACCGAGGATGATGATATTCTTCGGCGATGGAGGGTGTACTTTCAGGAACTCCTTAACCCCGCGCAACCGCAGGAAGACTCGCCTGTAGAGCAGAAGGGTACGGATATTACTATCTCTGTATATTAAATTACACAAGCTGTAAAAAGCTTGAAAAATCGAAAAGCTGCTGGAATTGATGAAATCCGCCCTGAGATGCTCAAGGCATTCGGCGAACAAGGCACGTGCTGGCTAACACGTGTCTGTCAAACTGCGATGACTGCGGGAAAGACACCAGCGG